ACTGTGATTTCACTGACACTAACCTTCATTCTCTGCATCAGACTCTCACTTGAAGCAGAGCGGCTGCTTCACGTCACTGATCCTGAGCGTGTCTTCGCTCATGTGTCTGTGGCTGACGTGCAGACTGAACAGCCTGTTCCACACTCACACAGCATCAAACCCGGGTGCAGCAGGAACGTGCAGTTCTGACATTGTTCACCCACACTCGTCGTGTTTACACTAAACGTAACCTGTACGCAGACGAACTTTCTGCACAGACCCAAACCTGCAGCTAGTGAATGATGTTTAGATCTAACGTAAATCTAAATGAGCTGCACAATAACGGACACGACGTCACAGTTACATGCACAGCTGCTGTCCACATACTTTAGTCCACATGACCCAGCAGACAACACGCTGTCACACCTGAGCTTCCTCTGCTGACATATCACTGACCAGCAAACTTCCAGCTCTGCTGCTCTATGTTTTATATTATTATTGATTTCCTGGTGGTTTCATTGTATGTTCACTTATTTATTCTTCCCTCGTTGTCCCAGACGAAGAATTCTCTTCTCACAACTTCTCTTCCAGTAGATTTGTATTATTTCACTCGACAGGTTTAGTGACAGAAATGCTTTCGTTGGTGGGGGAGTCGCTGTTCCTGCTGTATTTGCATTGTGTTGTATGAACTCATGCGTCGCAGTAAACAGCAGGTGGTTTTCCAGCAGAGCCCCGAGCAGCAGTTTCCTCTCTTTGTGCAGAGCGATGGACTCAGATGTGAAAAGTCTCAGAGTTTCTCAGCTCCTCTGAATATCTGAGCGATTGTGTAATGGCAGCTGGAGGCAGAGTGACACAGCATGAAGAACGACCCACTGACAGCAAAAACAAAGACACAACTGATGCAGCCAGTAACCAAACAGTGCAGCTGCAGGGACGTATCCTAGCTGCAGATACAGAGCGCTGCATCAAAGCTGCTGCTTCACACGTTCAGTGACATGAAACATAAAACTGAAGGATTTCTAAACACAGAAACTTTTTATTAACCCTCCACAAGTTTATTTAATGTTGCAGTTGCACACATGATCATTTTTCTCTGACCCTCTCCTGCCACTCTCTCTAGCGCCACCACCCGTCGTTACCGGGTTCTGCACCACACGCGAAAGGAGTGACATCATCAGCGTACAATGTGATGAGGCAGGAAAATCTTGGTTCAGACTCTACAACCAATCCGTTCATCCCAGTTAAGCAACATCACACCGAGCGGTTGAAATGAAAGACAGTGAGACTGATGACGGACCCACACTCTCACACTCTGTCCGAGCCGAACTGCACCAGCTCTGTTTATGGAAACACAACATCCACCGAGGATCCATGAAGCTCCCACATGTTGGAGTGATTAGAGAAATGCAGTGACATCACAGTCCTGCATCTTTCTCTGGAAAACGAAGGAAACTCAGAGAGTAACATGATGGTAACAGTTACACTGAGTGTACACAACATGACCACGGTTCGATTCCGGACAGTCTGCATGTTGTCGTTGTCGCTCTGTGATTCCCGTCCCTCTGCACCATGTGACTAGCAACGTCGATCAGACTCCAGCTGTTTTCCATCGTGAGTTCGAGTCAGAGTTCGAAATAAAAGGAAAAAGATCTGAATCACACAACGAGGCCGATGACATCAGGCAGAAAGACTGCGTCAGAGAGTCGAGAGACTCGTGAGTCACAGGATCGCTTCGTCCAACCGGCCGCATCCGACCCAGCCCTGTGACCCACCAGCAACCACACACACACACACACACAGGAATGTTTTCATCATGGGGGGGTGCGGCTGCATGTTGTCACTGCTCTGGCACCAGAGTCTGACTTCGCCCTCTGCTCGGCAGCAGCAGCCAGGAAAAACTGACGAGACAAACACGGAGAGCTCAGACGGTGTCCTCGGGTCTGCAGACGGTGTCCTCGGGTCTGCAGACGGTGTCCTCGGGTCTGCAGACGGCGAGCAGCGTTCACAGAGCCGCTTCACTAGATAAAAGACATCAGACTCTGGAGGACGAGTGCGGCAGACGCTTTCCTCCAGAGTCTGATTTACCCAGAGAACCCGGCGGGGAAGGGACGACTCCTGCGACGCTGAGGGACGTTCACTGTAGCAACAAACATACATACAACGTCTCGCAGAGTCTCCACTTCAGCGGACACGTGTAAGACTGTCTTGTCACCATGGCAACAGCAGAGGCAAAGCAACCAGCGTCTCCAGCAGCAGCAGCAGCAGCAGACATGGGATCACGTGTTAAACCAGAAAATAACTTTGACCATCTTTGAGTCTCTGAAGACGCCTGACGTGGGACAGTTATTAACTGATTGACTGTCTTTACACTGTGAGACGTCTTCAGCAGGTCTGATAACTATGAGGGCTAAAGGACGGGTTGTTGTCCACTGATGTTCTGAGGACTGAAGCGTCCAGATTGTTCCACACTCTCATCGCTGCAGACAACTTCGGTCTTTGTCTTCCATCGTCGATGCTTTGTCACATGTTCTGACTCCTCCCCTTCACTCTGCTTGGCGTTAAATGAGCTCTGACCCCACGTGTTGATCACGTGACCCACGTCTTCTCTCACTTTGAGGGCGAACACACAGGAAGGTGCGGACCTCTGCAGAGACACTGTGTCCCAGTGTCCCAGTGTAACCTGAGGGTCAGGGCTCCGACCACAACCAGTGTTCATGCTCAGTGCAAACACACACACACACACACACACACACACACACAC